GGTAAAGTTTAGCATTTCACCAATTAGCTGTAATGAAACGGAATTTATGACCAATATTTATAACGTACAGCCGTTAAAGATGAAAATATTTTCACAGGATTTTCGGTTTAATTGCAACACATTCGCACTGCGAATTTATAAGATAGCTCTCGGAGTAAATTTCGCGTAATTGCGAAAAAACGCATCATCACACCGTATCTAAATCCTGCAGAAAATCAGGTTACAGTTTTCCGTAGCGTCACATAAACAAGCTTCTGTTGCGCATAGCAGGAAATGCGTTTTCAGCCGTCCTAAAACCTGCTGTACAAGCCACCAAGTGGCATCTATTCAAACCACCACGCCAATAAAAAATTATCGCATAAATATACTGGTTACATAAGTGGTTCGTGGCAATTTTCATAGCACTGCAACTGTCGTTATATAAATTACAGGAACATTTCACGCATATCCAGGTGGATGAGGGAATGCGAGCGAATGTAATTGCCTCAACGAAAAGAAACTTGTATTTTCGTGTTTTTCTCCAAGGTCAAACTACCCTATCGCGTCTTGTTTATCACATAAATCACAGAGATTTATTGTAAAACACATTCGGACAACCGCAAATATGACTTACAAGAGATAACCTGGAAGAGCCGTGTTAAGCTTGCATGTCCTGTATACAATTCGATGCATTATTCAAAATAGAAGTTGTTGGCATTTCTGGACACATTTCTTTCTTGCAAGATGAAGTTGTTAACAAGCGGCTATTTAAGGCCGAAAAAAAGACGTGATGTGGACAAGACGTTGCCCAGAAACACGTTCCATCTATAAATAGAGCAAGAGTTTGCAAAAATTGCGTAATTTACCGGCATGGTCTTGCCTTTTTGTAATTACACAGCGGCGGCTCGAGAGGGACAATAATCTTCCAATATGACACAAATGCTCTATAAGAGGGAGCAGTTAAGTTTATTACCCTGTATAGCTGTGTTACAAGGACGTGAGGATAAAAAAAATGAAACTTATTAAGAAGATTCTACAAATCCTCGCAAAAACGTCGATACATAAATGAAATAAACGTCGAAGAAGTTATACAGGGTGTGTCAGAACTCGCGGCCCAAAGAAAAAATTCAAGTAAGACATTGTTAAAAATTTTGATTTATTTTTTGACATTTCACTTTTTTGTCACTTATAATTACACGAGAGCTTTTTTTCGAAGTAAACTTGACATTTTAATGAGAATTTTGTTTTCTGGCAACTTAACGAAAAAAACTGCTTCTGAAAAACTTACGAGTCCGTAGGACGAGTAATTTTTTCTGGAAGTTGTTTGAGTTAAATTGCCTAAAGGAAACAAAACTCGAATTATAAATGTCAAGTTTTCTTCGTAAAAAAAACAGCTTGAGTGTAATTCGGTAAGACAATTTAATGAATACGTAAATCCGATGATGCAGACCTACTAGATTCAGACATTTTCAAAAGTTAGGTTCCGTTTTGTCGTCATAGTGATAAAAACACCACGGCTTATGGGATTTTTAGTGTATGAAAACAATTCTCTATTTAATAATATTTATGATCTTGTATATGTTTTTTTACCATTATTTAGTAAAAGTACAAAAATTTTGCCAATAAAAGCCACAAATAACATTAAACAGAGTTACAATTTAGGATAGAGCTTCCTTGTTTCCTCTTCTAATAATTTATAGAAAAAAAAACTTGGAAAATTATTTTTCCAGTAGAAATAAATAAGTCGAAGTGCAAAATTTAAAATTTAATTTAATTTAGATTAATTTCAATTTTTATAGATGGAATTTTTTTAACTTTTTTTCCATGTTCCTGGTATCGTACCTTACATATGGCACTTTACTCTGGAGCGCTAGTTCTGGCGCAGCCTTCTAATGGTGATAATTCCCAGTCGGATTTTAAGGACATCACTAGTTTTTTGAAGTAGATTTAGGAGCAACAATGAGGCAGCGATTGAATTTATCACTCCCAAAAGTAGAAAAATTGGTAATTGTAAAGATTGCCAAAGTTTATATTGTTTGACATTTTTATAAATAGGACATCATACCAAATGCGCAAACACAACAAAAGTCTGTATAAAATGTGTGTTTTTTTAACAATAAAAAAATGAGATCGAAAAACACGTTGTTATTGCATAATATGCATGATTGGCAACGTTAAGATTACCTGTGATTTCGGACTGCTTCAGGAGCTGTTTTTTTAAGTTCAAGCTCCATTTTACGACAGTAAAACACGTTTTTAGACATCACAATAAACGACAGTCATAATGCTTACAACGAACAATGCTTTTGACGTTTGATGAGAAGCGTAATTTGTCAATGCATTAATTTAATTAAAAGTCGACAGAAAATACAAAAAAATAAATAAATAAAGAAGTATACATTGGAGCTAGTAGTGTTCTTCAAAGCGCAAATCTAATTTTTTCGCTATTTTATTTTGGGAACATATTAAATGCACAGTAAAATAATAAACTAAATAAAATAAATAACGAAAAATAAAACTAATAAATGCACAGTAAAGCCCAACGATCTAGTAACGTGTAGATAGATACAGCGTAGAGTGAGAGGCGTTGTCCTCAACACTAGCATGAGATAGCAAATGCGATCAGCTGGTTTGGGTCAAAACATGTCGAGAGTTTCGTTGCACAACGGTGGCATATTTTTATTTCAGTGATTTCAGTGACTTTCCGAAGCAAATTTTAGTGTTTCCTTATTGTGCAATTTGTCATTCAGAATGCCCTCTACTTGTGCAGCGTATGGCTGCACAAATAGGTATCAGAAAGGCAACAATATTTCTTTTCACAGGTAGGTTATGATTGCAAAGATTGCAACCCAATTTGTTTTGTTGTAATTAAAATATAATGTTTATAAGTACACAATTATACTCTGCAGCTTTCCGAAGGATAAAACTTTGCGGCGCAAGTGGGTAATAGCTGTGAAAAGAGACAAATTTAAACCATCTGAATATTCGAAATTATGTTCGGATCATTTTCAAAAAGATGATTTTGAATATATATTTGGTTTGAAAACGTTAAAATTAGGAACAGTGCCTACAATTTTTAAATTTCAGCCACATTTACAAAAGAAAGTGCCCAAGAAGCATTCCACTATGTTACTAAGTGACTTCAACCAGGTTGTAGACAAATATTCAAAATTAATTTTATTTAAAAATCAGTGAGTGCCATTTGCTTCCAGTTTTTCTATTTAGTATATTTTTTTCTAATTTTTCGTTCCTAATTATATTTATATTATGTTTACTTTATTTTTAATATTTTAAAGCAACTTAGTCTTCATACGTCTGTATATTGTTATTAGTTTGCAGATTAAAAAAATATAAAATACACCAAAAAAGCGTATATATCTAATTCATAAGATAAGTTAAAAAATTATTTTTGTTTTGTTTTTACACATATTTTTACTCAAAAAGTGTTAAGTATTACTTAATAATAAATTAATGAATAAATTATTCGTTCCAACAATAAAGTGAGTTTATTTAAATTTGGTGCTTGTTCCCAATACGATTCTACGAGAGATTGACCCAAACCACGTGATCTTATTGTTGCGTTCTTTGTCTTCATTACGACTTTCCCCATCAGCCTGTCTCTCTCACATGTTGAAGTCAATACTGTATCAAGCAAGTGTCGCTTGATCTATATGTTACTAGATCGTTGGTAAAGCCAAGGAATTTTTTTATTGGCAACCTATACTACAAATTTTTCGATTTTTTTTTGAAGACTATGATCTAAAAATGACTCTATTAAATAATAGTTATTCATTGTAAGAGTATGTTAGATAGCGTTTTATTCACGCAAGAATGTTTAACCGCGAGAACGTCAGTTCGGAATATCGCAAAGCGTTCAAAAACAAAATTGTGGTATAGTAATATTCTTTTAATTTTTCCCGTTTATCGTAAAACTGTGTCAAATAACACAATTCCATGCGCTACTAGTTTTGTCTTTGTTGTTACTATGCGAATGAGTGAGACAAAATGCAAACGGTCAAGCGTAGCTGAAAATAGGAGGGACCACCAGTCGTTCTCAAAATATGAGACGCCACTAAGCTAAAATTTGTTATTATTATTATTACTTTTTTAATAAATTAATAAGTCTTGTATGTTATCAAGCAAAACAAAATGTTAAAATGTTTCTCTTGCTGCATTTTTTAACTTATTGAGAATCACTGGTATGTTTTGGTTGAGTGAAGTAGATAGGCGTGCTAAAGTTTGCTGTTTCTTTTAAACGACCTAAGTGCGAGAAAGACAACATACCACTGGTGGGACCAGAGAGCGGCATAACGTTTATCTTACTTGCTCCTACCTACTTACTTGAAGAGCGAGAGAGACAACAAAGTTTTATGACATTCGGGTAAAATTAAAAGAATTCTTCTATATCAGGAGTACAGCAGTGCAAACAGTGGCGTACTCTGAATAGACTGATTACCATTTGTGCACAGTTTCCAGCTCTTGCTAAAATCATTCTTGCCCAGGGGCCCTTGCTAATACATTTACCACCCACCAATAATAATAAATAATTAGTAATATAAAAATAAGTACCAATAAGAAATAACATTTTGCGCAGGGGCCATATATTGTTATGTAACTAAAACTGAAAGTTTCTAACTTTATGTTATTTTAGTATTTTTAATTGAAGTTACTGATCATTTATTATTTTCACTGTGAAAATTTGGTTTTTTACTGTGCACTTTTATACTGCTTCACTTGATAATTATTACGAGTATTTTTACTCTGCAAAATGTTATATTATACTGAACATTTTAATTTTTTTGCTATGCAAAAATTAATTAAATACTGAACATTTATTTAATTGTATTATTTATCCACTGAAGGTTTTATTGCTACCCTTTTATTTTTTTGCTTAATCGATTAATATCTGATTACTTTTCCCCAAGACCGATCTTCACCTCTCTCTTGGTCCATTTCATGGTCGCCCTACCACGTCACCGAGCACTTGCATCAACCGCGAATGCATTAGTAGCCGTGCTGCTGCATCGGTGCAGTCACTCTCTTCCGTTTTGCTCCGATTTATGTCAGACATAAATCTCGCTATCGGGATCGCCAACCAAAAAATCGATTTGTTTTACTTTGTTTTTGGTGTACAGTGGGCTTGTGTGCGGTGAATGATGATCTGATGAAGTCGAGATAAAAAAGAATGAAACGTAGGTAGCGTCCCATGGCACGGGCGCCGACTACATGGGTGCATGGGTGGATGCACCCAAGAATTTTTTTTCGGGTGAAAATAATATACTCCTCCTTAATTAAAAGAAAATGATGGAATCTCGTATTTGTTCTGCTCTTATTTTAGAAAAACGTTGCATTCTGTAAAATCACTTTTATTGTTTTTTTTTTTGTAATATACGAGAAATCATATTATTATTTTTACATGTTCTAAATATTATTCACTAAATTCAACAAGAATAGAGAAGAAGAAATCGTTTTTTCGCGTATTTCTATGTTCTCAAGTCCTTCAAGAGATCCCAAGATACATAATTACAGAAGATCTTAAAAGAAACTTTAATGTTATTTGTATTGCTTTAATTTGACAATTAATTTATCAAGTTTTTTGTTTGTGCACCCATTGAAAGTCGGCGCCCATGTCCCATGAAAGAAAAGAGTGAAATGTTGCGGGGTATGAGTCATAACGAGTTTGCACAAATCTCTGTTATTAAAATATTTTTCTTGTTTAAATACGCTCAAATAATCTGACACGGGAAGATTGAGATTAGATAAGAGATAGAGTGCATAGAATATGCAAATTAGAACATGACGTAAATTTAAAATGGTACAAGTCACAGACTTACTACCTCCTGGGTTTTTGCCTAATTCTCATAAGGCAATTCTGGTGTATCAAATAATTATGTTTGACTTAACCAAAAGTTAAGTTAGCTTAGTTCAACCATAAAAATATTATTTTACAAAAGTATCGTTTTATAAAATATTAGCAGCGATGATACTTAAAATTACAATTTATAGTCTTTGTAAGCATTAAAAAAATTGCTATCGTATTACTACTCCCGATTATTTCCAGTGATCTTTGACTTCAAGAATTCGCCTCTTGCTGTTTTCAGCAAAATTAATCATTCAATATTATTTTTTTTTTAATTGGAATGATTAATTTTTATTAATAAATATTTCAAAAACGGTTAAATTTAAGTATAGGGAAGATAAGATACTAGGAACATAGAAAAAATGTTTAAAAAATTCTATCTGTCAAAAAAATTTGACGTTTATTTTTTGATATTTGACATTTTTTTATGTCTACTTAATGATACTGATTATTTTGTATATGTTTTTTTTACAATTATTTAGTAAAGGTACAAATATTTTGACAATAAAAGCCACAAATAACATTAAACAGTTACAATTTAGGAAACAGCTTCCTTGTTTTCTCTTCCCATAGCCTGTAGCAAAAAAACTTGGAAAATTATTTTTCCAACAGAAATAAATAGAGTCAAAGTGCAAAATTTAAACTCTATAACTTGGACATTTTTACAGATAATTTTTTTTTACATTTTTTCCATGTTCCTTATAAGGCATTTTTCTCTGGGGCGCGAGTTCTGGCTTACCCTGTATAAAACATTTTTTTATAACAAGTTTTTTTTTCTTCCTTAAAAGCAATATAAATTTACATTTGTAATTCATTTTTCATTCAAATAATGAAATAATATAAATTTCAGTAAATTGCAATGGAGATTTTAATTAAGTATATGTATTTTGCAATTTAGGTTTCAAATTTTTTTCAGCTAAATTCTTTTTGTACTTGGAAGCAATTTGTTTCAGAATTTCTACTGTGTAAGGTTCCACATTTATTTTACATGCTGATATGCATTTTAAAAAGTAAATAAAAAATACGGTGAGCCGCAAAATTTGGAATAATCTTATTTATGAAAACTGAAAATATTTTTGCTCAAACAGGTCAATTTTCTTTTTAGAAAATACAATATTCTCAACTTGGTTTAAAATTGTATTTTTTGGTGATATTTTTTTCGAAAATTTTGTACAATATTTAATATTTTGGTGTTGTCATTTCGACAATTAAAAGATCTATCAAATTGGTTAAAAAAATTAGGGGTTTTCGTTAAAAAAAATACTATTATGTCATTATGTCAAAACAAAAAAGTGTAAAATCATAATGAAATTGAAAATTGCAAATTTTGTAAAAAGAAAATTGACAGGTTCTAGCATTTTTGCCAAAACAAAATAATTTCAGTTTTAAAATCCGTCCATATTTGCTTGAATTTTATGGTTTTGATTTACTAAACTAGTTTATAAGGGATGTAATGGGGGTGGTTGTAAACCTCTAAGGAAACAATCCTTTACAATTGAGGTGTTGGGATTTCTTTATAGCTAAAGGCCCAAAAAGGTAATTAATTGTCTTTATTGCATTATAAAATTCGAGCAAATAAAGACAGACCATAATTTTGTCGCTCACTGTGTAGTTTCACTGCCTACTTTACCAGTACCTTCAGTTTAGTGTTTTTAAAAAGTCTGCCATATTCCAAGATGTCAATTTAGGAATATTTTCATTGATTGTAAACTACCAGAAAATGAAATCAATAAAACAGTAGTTAATGGCAAATAAAATTTCATTTTGCAAAATCTTAAATGCAAAATTGTGTAGTTTTTGGGCTTGAAGTAGATTTTAAAAAATCGCCTTGCCATCGTATTTCATGGTAGCAGGAAGTATCACAGCCATAATTTAACCGACATTACCTTAATTCCAATACTTTATAGGGAGGTAATTACAGTTCACGAGCCTTGCTAATTTGCTCAAAAGATCACGTATTTTTCATTATTTTCGTCCATAAATAAAACAGCTTTCCCAAAAGTATCCCCGACGATATTTCACGCTTTTCCTTATCGAAACCATAAAAAATCTTGTCTAATGCTACCACATTTCCTTTTATCAGAGCAAGTAGCTTAATTTATTCAACGCAGCTATGCTCTTGTCTAAATTAGGATCTTGTTGACAAATGTCACTTCTGCTAATAAGGAAGAGATTAGAAGATTAGCAACGTCATTAAGGGCATACAAAGGGGCATTTTCCTGTGTGTAGAAACTCATTAAGGAGGGCAAAATGTAATCAAGTCGAAAAATTGTGGCCGCTGTGTAATAAAAGAACTGTAATTGTGAAGATGCCCTCGGGGAGCATCAACGTGCGTAAAGAAGAAGATTGTGATGATGATATTGCAGGTAAGGCATTTTCGTCATTTTCCTTTTGCACGTTTTTACCCTTTGAAGACATCAAAACTTTTGCAATAAGTCTCAACCGTTCATGAATAAACATCCGATTCTTGTCTAGTCAAGTTCATCCACTCTTATGGTGTTGTAGAATCGAGTCGGTTTGCAACATCGTAAAATGGCTCATGGTTTGCATTTCAATATACCGAGCGAGTTATTATAAGTAAATCAGTGCGTTTGGCGTACATGGAGTATAAAATACATTCAAGATTTGACATACCGTAACTTCCACATTAATATTTATCGCAAAGGTATAGCTTCACAGATAACGAGACGTGATGGTAGGATAATAGAGGCTTTTGTTGCGCTATTGCAGTCATTTTTTTCATAAAATAAAACAAGACGAGATTACGTAAGACAAGAACAGCTAAACATGTCAGAATTTGAAAGAGATATGCTTGCTGGGCACGAAGTAAGCCAGGTTTATAGCAAAAATGAAAAGTGAATAAATATTTCCACTACATGAAAAATTTCCCATGTCTTTCGATGTCATGTTGTGTTAAATTTTAAATTACAGAAAAGTGACAGACTACCGTCCTACCGTCCTCTTTGTTTTCTGCTTTTTTACTTTCTACTTCTTGCGTTTTCACCTCTTTTTCTGTATAGGTACGTACTTTGTTAGATATTATAATCTATGTCCTCCTCACTTTTTTTGATTAGTGTTTTTAACTTTTTGTATGTTTGCTGCTCTTTTGTCTTTCTGTTGCATTATCAACAGCAAAGCCTCCTCAGATTCATTGGACGATTGATTTTCCTAGATATGGGATTGCTGATAATAAATTACTAATTATGCATTGAATGGTTTGTTTTCGTTTTCGGAAAAATAATTTAAAACAAATGCACACGAAACTAAAAAGTTTAACGATGGAAAAAGATTTGTTTGTATTTGAAGACTGTCAACGATTTCTTCGATATCTGAGACCTTTTTCTTAAAGAAGAACAATGATGTAGAACATAATGGAAATTAAATTCGATAATACAGGGTGTTCCAAAGAGTTGAAAAAGTCCATTAGTGACCTTTACATGGTAAAATTATAGGACATTGATAGATACTACTCTAGTACATCGCCTAAAATAATTTTCAACTATACAGCGTGTCTCAAAAATAAGTTACAATACAAACTTGTGTTTTTTTAAATGCAACACCATATGTTTCTTAGCATTTTTAGATGTAGACTTTTATGACAATGTTTTTAAGCTAAACTTCTGTTGGTCGAATTTGCTTAGTTATAAAAATAAGACGGTTTTTTGACGAAAACATGCACTTTTTAAAAATTTATTTCACAAAAACTAAGACATCTAGAAATAATTTTTATTACCGCAAAGTCTGAAGGTACAAGCTGTAAGGTTGTAACATTTTTTTAGTGTATTGCATTTACAAAGGTAAAAAAATGAAGGCGTTTGTTAAAAGTTCAATAACTTAAAATTTTTAAACGGAACACCCTATTCATTGTTTTTGCATTTAAAAGATTATTAAATTGTCTTTATAAATTTATATATTATTAGGTGCTTATAATCAATAACTAAAAAGATATTTAACGTTAAATATTAAAAAAAAATACTATTGTCTCAGTAGCCAAATAGTGCACAGTTGCACAAGAGATGGAAGAAATATCACTTAATAATCACACTTGTGTTGAACTGAATCCATTATTCTTTATTTTTCCAATAAAATAATTCAGTATAATTTCAGTATTTATAACGACTTTTACAATTTCCGGATAAATCAATAGATAAGTGATCCGTGGTGGAATTACTATGTTTGCCATTATATCAACAATGCTCAGATACTGATAGGCATGGTTGCTACAATTAATATTAAATGTTAAATATCTTTTTATTTATCAATTCTAGACATTAAGAGTTTATTTTTTTAGATAGAGAATTTATCAATCTATTAGATGCAAAAATAAAAAATAGGATGTTCCATTAATTTTTTTTAAGTTATCTAACTTTTAACAAACTTGTTAATTTATTAATCTTTACAAATGCAAAATTCTAAAAAAATGCTACAGCTTTAAATTCTGTACTTTCTTCTTTGCAGAAGTAAGAAAAAATTTGTTCAAGTTGTCTTTGCTTTTGTGTAATAAATTTTTAAAAAGTGCATGTTTTCGTCACAAAAACTGTCTTATTCTTAAAACTAAACGAAATCGACTAATAAAAGTTTAGCGTAAAAACATTGTTTTAAAAAGCTACATCCAAAAATGCAAAGAAACATACGGTGTTTCAATTAAAAAAACACAAGTTTGTATGGTAACTTATTTTTGGGACATGCCGTATGGTTGAAAATAATTTTAGATTAGATTTTAATTAGATTAGATTAGCATCTATCAATGTCCTATACATTTTTTTTTAATTGTACCATTTAAACGTCACTCATGGACTCGCTGGGACATCCTATATGTAATATGTATGTAATTCAGAAAAGAATATTAAAGAAGAACAACTAGAATGAGCATAATGAAAAAAAAAAAGAAACAAAGAGTTTGAAGGCACAAGAAACATTGACAAGAGAAAACATATGAAACGGTTGAAAAAAATTACAATATAGAAAACTTGAACATTTTCTGTTTTTGTTATTTTTTAAATGTTACCTCATCTGGTTCTACTTTTTATTTTTTTATCTATTCTAAATTTTGAATTTTGTACACTGAATTTTTATTTTTGTCTTCCTGTAGTTTTCTAAATAGCTTGTAGATATGTATTTCTTTCATTTTATGACTTTTACTCCCATCTTTCTTACCTTCTTTTTTCTGTTTTGTTTTTTCGTTCCTTTGGACTGGATGTTTTTTGTGTTTTCTTCTTTATGTTAATGGAATTTGAAAAAGATAGGAAAATATTTTTTCGTGTTTATTTTCATTGGTTTACTGCTACAAAAATTTTGTCTCGGAATAAAGCGTTAAATACCCTTCAACCATTTCACTTGTGAAAAATTTATGATGCCAGCCTCAACAAAGGGGCGTTAAACCCGAAGACCTACCGTCTCGTTATGACCAAACATCGCCGTAAATTGGGGCTAAATCTCAAACAGTGCCGCCCGGATGGACCAATATACCCATCTCTGAACAGTGTCTTTGTTCCCTTCACCCAACAAAAGCAAAAAAAAGTCATTTCGGTGGAGGTCCACCTTGTAGAGTATCATTTAGTGTCGTAAAATGTAATGGGAAGTATGCAGATAATGTTAATTTTCTTCAAGTCGTTTCTTGGGGAATTTTACAAATTACAAACATTTAAACCAGCCTCTCTTTTATTTCATGGGTGTAAAAATGGAACGGGAGTGTTTTAATTAATTCAAGCATTGAAATATCTGATCTAACACAGAATATCTGACATCATCGAGTGGATTTTAAGGAAATAATCTCGATCTGATACTAATAAAATGGTATAAATTACACCCACTTAGACTAGTTTCAATTCAAATAATCGCAAATGCTTCCATGATTACATCGAGGGTTGGGCGAAAAAATCACTTTTCCTTGATGAAACGAGGCGACAGGAAACCAAATGTCTTGAAAAATCTTCACAAGATAAGATGCAAGATTCCGAGAAAACGTGATTGTTTTATGCAATGTTTTTAACACTTTTATCATTTCGTATGACCTTAGTCTATTTTTATCGTGGATTGAAAAACGGGACAAATATAGCGGGTTTGTGATCGAGTCATTAATGAGATTTGAGAACAATTGGTGTCAATGACATCTAAAGAGGTATTGTCATCAATCAATAAGAAAAAGTGAGCATTTGTCTTGGTATTGGTACGAAATATTTCACTAAGCAATGAACAGATTAAAATCGTGTTTACAACGGGAGTAATTTAGAAAATTGTTTTTTTAATCAGCACCTTCATGCCTCGTGAGCTTTGTTTCAAATATGTAACAATGAAATCAACGATTGATCTTAAATTACATATGTTTGTGACTTCCGTTTCCCGTGTAGATAAGGGGAAAAATTTTCGTTTTCAATCTTTTCATGTTAAACTTCTTATCACGTGACGTGGAGTAAAACTAAACTTTAATGAGATAAGCAAAGCAGTGCTTAGTGAAGCACAAACTAAGAGACTTTTTTAATAAATAATCACAGCTCTCATATGCAAATAAGGTAAACTGCTGTAACTTCCGGAGAAACTCAAAATTATCTAACAAAGTTTTTATTTTATTTTTAACATATAAGTCACAAAAGGTCACAAGGAGCTAATAGATACGTTAAAGCGAAACGGAAGTGACTTCACTACAATGGCCAATAAAGGATTTACACCTCATAGTTATATTGAGCTTTTCTATTTCCCTTATTACATCTGCATTTTGTTCTTTATTTATTTAAATTAAATACCTACTTTTTGTTTAGCATATCTTTCAATCTTCTTGAGTCTTGTTGGTGTTAATCACGGTGTTAATGTTAAATAAATCAAAACTCATTGTCTTCCGAAAAACACGACGACTTTTATTCACACCTGAGGGTGACCACCATGTGGTCGAAACACGTATCGTGTATACTAGAATAAAGTTTGGTGTTTTTGGGAAGATGAGTTTTGATGTCTTGCAGGTATATTTTTTCTCTACTTCACAACTGTTTTTTTTTATAAATATTTGATTTCGTTATTTTATAAATAAATTTTGCCTTTAGTTTTTTGCCTTTTTGTTTCTTATTATGAATGTTTAAAACAATTTTGTTCTGTATTTAAATATTTGGTAATTTTTTTATTCGTAATTGTGTTTACTTACTTTTCTTTTTTCTTGTTCTATTGTTCTCCTGTTTTTGGTTTATTTTTTTTATCTATTCTATATTTTGTACACTGAATTCTGATTTTTGTCTTCTTGTAGCTTTCTAACTAGCTTGTAGATATGAATTTCTTTCGCGTTTTATGGCTTTTACTCCCATCTTTCTTACCTTCTCTTTTTCTATTTTGGTTTGTTTTTGGTTTCTTTGGACTGGATGTTTTCTGTTTTCTTATT